CGGAATAGAGATACATCACCTGGTAGGCCATTATCTAATGAGTTTGACTATCAGAGGTAACTGTTAACGTGATAGTTTTATGGACTCGCCATCCTACTTGAAGAGGATTGGTGGGGGGATTTGGAGGAAAAGGACTATCAGAGGTGACGGTTAACATGATAGTTTTGGTGGACCCACCATCCTACTTGAAGAGGATTGGTGGGAGAATTTGGAGGAAAAGGACTATCAGAGGTGACGGTTAACGTGATAGTTTTGGTGAACCCGCCATCCTACTTGAAGAGGATTGGTGGGGGAATTTGGAGGAAAAGGACTATCAGAGGTGACGGTTAACGTGATAGTTTTGGTGGACCCGCCATCCTACTTGAAGAGGATTGGTGGGGGAATTTGGAGGAAAAGGACTATCAGAGGTGACGGTTAACGTGATAGTTTTGGTGGACCCGCCATCCTACTAGAGAGGATTGGCTTCAGCGGCCGTAGTATCTTCTTCTTCTGACTGAAAGACTATCAGAGGTAATTGTTAACATGATAGTTATTGGACCTGCCATCCTACTGAAGAGAATTGACTTCAGGGACCGTAGTATCTTCCCTTTGCTCAGGTGAAGGTTGGGCTTGGTCCGATTGCTCAGGTTGATCCTGCCTACTTTGTTCTTCAGCTTTGATCCTGGCAATAATCTTTTGAGCCTGTTCGCCTTGAGAGATTAGTTGTCTCCAAGAACGGCATTCTGCAACCCTCATTTGTGCTAGAAGATTGGTCTGGAAGTTGTGTCGACAGGTCTCTACTAAGGTAGACTGTGTCATACCTGTCGGGCATCGAAGAGCCATGCTTCGGAACCTCTTGACGAAAGCTTTGATAGACTCCCTCTTCTTCTGCTTAGTGGCGAGAAGGATATAGATGGAGACTTCTGTATCCTCTTCAAAGAATCTTGATAGGAAGAGTCTCTCTAGATCCGTCCACTTTTGGATACATCCGGCAGGTAACTTTCTAAACCATTCAAAGGCAACTCCCTTGAGGGTGCCAATGAATAATCGAGCCAGTATGGCATCATTTGATATCACATTCCCAGTCTGTGACTTGAAATGATAGATATGTTGGTTCGGTGATCCCGTGCCGTCAAAAGTTTGTAGCGTCGGGACTTCAAATTTTGGAGGATAATGGGCTGCATCCCATTCGGAAGGATAGGGTCTGACAACTCCCTCTTCTTGGAGCTCGCTTCTGTTAGAAATGACATTGAGGCGGGCTTCCAATTCTTCCATTTTGACAGACTGGAGATTCTGTTCGATCTCCGTCTCTCTTCCTTTATCAGAGGAAGATTCTAGGTTGTGGGCTTCTTGGTCAGAAGCTGTGTCATCAACCACTTTTTCCTTCCCTTTGCTTGTGTGAGGTCGGGATGAAGAAGTTTTTCCCCTCCGGGAGGATTCTTGCCTAGGTGGCGAATCTGTCTTCTGAGATTTAGCCTTGTCTGCGACGAGTTGAGTCAACAGGTTTAGGAGTTCATTGAGGGTCTTCTGCTGTGATTTGAGCATGGCCTCCTGCTCATCAAGTCTCTTCGTGAGATCTTCATGGCTTTCTGTCATATAGGCGGAGCTTTCACGTTCAACAAAGGAACTTGACGATTGAGACTCCGCGATGGCTGAGTGTTCATCATCGGAATTAGTTCCTCTGGCTAACCTCCAATAGTTGACAGGGAGAATGGTTCCTGTTCGTGTCCGAGTGCGTTGGTAGACTCCTTCAAACTCATTAGCGATTTCTCTGACGGTCGGTGAACGACTTATCTCAGAGTCGTCGGAACTAGGACCTGAGGCTTTACCTCTGCTGATCACATTGATAGTGATCCCAGGATATTCCGTCTCTGGAGACTTCTTCATGTGAGAACGTCGTCATTGGTTGGGCAAAGTAACATTCGTAAATTGGTCGAACACCAACAGTTTGGCCGCATATGAGCAACATTGACATCTCGAGAGGATCGTATGAATCAGTCATTCACATTGAAATGAACGAATGACTTGTTGCATCGGTCTTTCTCTTGATATGAACTCTCTCAAGTCTGTTGTGAAGATTCGAGGAGAACTACTCACTGATCGTGAGGTTTGAATTGGAACCCCCAGTCCATGATTGGACATGACTGGCTCTTGGTGAACATGGATCCGGTTGAGATGCCTTGAATCCAAAGACTTCTTATATCCGCCCCTTAACCTAGTCGTGCTACACAGAGTATCCGGGGGTCCAGGGGGCGGCGCGCCCCTGGCCAGGGGGTCCGGGGGGATGGAATACCCCCCGGCGGGGGTCGGGGCAGCGCCCCGAAGCTCCATGATATACAGGTTCGGTATTGGATTTCGTCACCCGAACGCATGCCTGAGAGTTGTGTTCAGTTAATGGAACGCACTCCTGAAGACTGCGTTTTGACTGTACAATGCACCACTGAGGGCTGCGTTCAGTCTTATTCACACAGAGCCAATGTTTGGGCTCATAGACGCAAGGCTTGCGTTCTGAAGCAGAAACGCAGAGCACATGGTCGCGTTTAGGCTCACAAACACGAAGCTCGTGTTGACTTGAAGATCGACATTCACAGAGATGTGCTCGTCGTAGGGATCTCATCCTTCGCCGAGCGACGTTCTTCTTAGACTGCTTTAAGGCTTTGGCAGCAACACCTTCAACTCGGTGGACGAGTTTGGCCGAAGCTGAGCCCACTCCATCGGAGGAGGGGCTGTTCAAGCAATCTAATCCAAAGGAGAGCACTTCCTTCGGCGATTCGGCAGAGATTAGAGCTTTAGCCTTCTTGGAGATCTTGCGGAACTTGCGCATAGCCTTGGGGCTAAGGGATCCGGAGGAAAGGGCTTCCTCATACTTGGCTTGATCGAACTCGATGATCAGAGTTTCAATGGTCGTTCCTGTGAGATGGACGTCGGATTGCACCACCACTTCTTCGTCAGAGAAGCTCATCCCTAGCGGAGTCGCCATCTTTTGTTTGTGGGAAAATTTGCAGTAAAAGAAACGAAGAAAAATTGATTTGTATTCCTTTAATCTCAGTTACAATTGGATTTCCTGATTACAAAAGAGAAGAGAATGATCTGGATTCTCCCCTTTGTTTAATTCTGGGTTCTTCACGGTAGCGATGAGATGCCTCACTCGAATGCTCGCGTCGAGTTTGCTTCTCGTTGACGATCCGACGTCTTGTTTCACTAGAACGTAGTCTTCTCCTCACGATTTGACGTTGTGGAGAACTCTGAACGAGTTTAAACTATATGAAAGAGTTGATTTAACCGAAAGTCGGTTATAAGCCAAGGATGAAGAAGATCTTGTTGCCGATCTCCAAAGCTCCAAAAATGCTCTAAGGATCCTGTTGACGAGCCAAGAAGTTCCAACCGACCGCCCCTTAACTGAATTGATTTTCAGTTATTTATAGGGGATTAAGGGGTGTAACCACCTCCTTAATTCGCTCCTAAGTGGGGCTAATGGGATGTAACTGCCCCTTAAATCACTCCTGAGTGGAGTTGTGATCCCCTCAGATCATGGAAAACGGTTTTGGAACCGTTCAGCTCGTGTTTGAACGAGTCAAATGCAGGCCCGCGTTCTGGCATCACTACAACACCTGAAGTCTACCATAGCGGTCGAAAAACGCTATGATATTATTTCATAGCGTTTTAATCAACGCTGTGTCAGAACCCGCTATAGTAGGTCTGTGGCTTTACATAGCGTTTCCCCAAACGCTATCAAAAAGATTCCTACCATAGCGTTTTTATGTAGCTATAAAAGAGTATTCAATAGCGTTTATATATTGCTATGACAAATATCTTTCATAGCAGTTGAAAAACGCTATTAGTTAGTTTTCATTCATAGCATTTCAACGCTGCTATTGTCTTACATTTGATAGCGTTTGAGTTACTACAATGGCGTTTCAGTGAATGCTGTCTTTCTTCTTTTAATAGCATTTCAGCAATTGTTTCCACTTCTTATAGCAGTTCAGTTGTGCCTATAAACCTTTGATGTTAAACTAGAAATAGCTTGCAATTATGACAACCATAAAAATAAATATTTCATTTAAATGTTCAAACTGATACATAACCAAGTTGTAGCATACAAAAAGTAAAACACAAATGTGCCAAAAAATAAATACTAGTCTTTGGATAATCCAACATGGAGTATAAGAAATTAACCATAGTACACAGAACAACAAAAACTAACTTTGCTGCATTACATATGACTTGGGAGACTCATCATCTTCAGCAATTGAGTACTAGTACTGCTGCAAAAACAGAAATTAACAACACCAATAATGAGATCTTAGAGCCATGAATATATGGACACAAAACAGAAAACAACAACACCAATAATTAGAAATCCTAGATAGTGAAAATATCTATTTTCTCGAATGTAAACCAATCGTACCTGTCAATGAATTTGATCTTGAATAGTTTCTATGCAGGCCGTCACTTCCATTACGCACCTACATAATAGGGTGTGCTACAAACATATGAAAGATAACAATCTGGATAAAGAAAAACAAATACGCGTGCAAGTCTAACTGTATACCTCTGTGGTAAGCCTTTTGTTTCTGTGATATATTCTGTTAGTATATGAATCCTCGTCAGACAGCCTCTTATTGAAATGGATAGTTTCTGGTTGTAATGGGTAATCATTGGATGCTTTACTCTTTTGTCTTGGTTTCATCTCTTCTTATTTTGGTAACCAACTTTCCGGAGATTTTATAGAAGTGACAGGAACTTCAGGTTGAGGTCTCAATTCTAGAGATTATAGTTTAATCCTGGCTTATTGATCCGCATGCTTAGTGATGAAAAGAGTCTGTATGGAACTCGAGTCTCCACATCATGGTCTCCAAAGCTTCACATTTCAGCGAAACTCCCTCTGCCTTATCAGACTTATTATTTTTCTTTCAAACAGAATTAGGAAGCCTACAACTTCCCTTTTTTTCTTAATCATGGGTTCATATCCTTCATTGAGAGCCTCAATGGATACAAAGAGCCTCACCTAATCATGGCCTCATATCCTTCATTGAGGAGCCTCTACTGATACGAAGAGCCTCACCTAATCATGGGTCCATAACTCCATATCCTTTGTTGAGGAGCCTCACCATATGCATGTATAAATCATTAACTGCAATCATCAAGAATACATGTAAACTTGCTCTGGTTCAACAACAAGAATGTTGAATCATCATAGTGTTGAATCTGTGGGGCATAAGTTTTTTCACAATCATATTATTGAATTCACTGAACAGGAAGCATCAAATGCTTCTAGTTACCTCCATATTGAAAATTACTATGTCATTTAATACTTCCATTTAGCACTTTATAGGAAACATTTGCAATGCATATTGAAATATGCAAGGATGGATCAAGATAAATGGTTCTGCATGCCATGATTGCCATCAATGATGTTATTCATAAATGCAACAGATGATGTCATAGCATGATAGCAGTTGACTACGTTTAATATTCTCTGGAACCAAATGAATAATTTCAGATAATAAAAAGAAGGACGAAATCAAACTGCATGCCATCAAATAAGTTATATATAATAACTCACAGCTAGCCACCGGCACCTCAAAGCAACATCCCTTACAGTCTTCCGACGCATCATTGCAGCTATCTTGATATACTTCATCATACCATGTTCACCAGCATATCTGGAAACATGAAGTAAACAATGTGTGAGCCAAGGACAAAAGAAATAATTGTATTAACAGTCTAATGCTAGCAC